AGCATTTAATAAATTTGTTTAAACAAATATTCGTTAACTTAAACTTACATGTGGCTAAATCAATTTTTTTATAATATATATATATTCTATTTTGTACACCACTATTACTGCAGTTTGCCATTATATTTGAGAAATATCCGCTCCGATCGGGTTCTCGTCGAGACTTATRTAGAGGTACTTATCGTTTTTATTATTTATGGTGCGACAGCGTTTGTAAATATTGTTCTTTTCTAATTTGTATTCATTATTTAACTATATATTATAATAACTACTCACRTCGTTAAATATAATGTTAAAACTTAAAATACCCGTAATTAACTATGCATATTATATTGTTTTCCGCGGTACAACTTCCGTACGTGCACCAAGTTTTGTATATATTATATACAGTTACAGTCGATTTACGGCACAGTCAGAGCACTACAATGGTAGTAAAATACTAAAATGATACTAACATGTCTATATATTTCAGGATTATAAATGGAAAATGCAATTATACAATGGCGAACATTCTATATATATATTAGTAATTAGTATTATACGCCATCGAGTGATCTGAAATATTTTACAACTTTATACACCGAAATTACACGTCATTATAATTTTATTATATTATTATTTATTATAATATATATACATCAAATAACATTAGACAATATTACATATTAATATATTATTATTTTATTTTTAAAATCAATTGTAAATTTGTACTGTTTAGTTATTACAACATAATTATTACATATTTACAACCACTACACCACGTGTATCGTGTATAGACGTAGATATATTACACGCCGTCATCATTTCATCAATCACCAGATCCGACAAACCCTAATGATAGGGAAATGCAATCAAAATGTTCTATTACTTTCTCCTCCAACGAATTTCCATAAAAATAATCAATTACTGAGTTTTAGAACTAATTTTGTTGTACATAAAATTGTGTTAAATGTAATGCTACGAATGGATGAAAGATGTTACGGCTTAAGCCTGGTTCAGCGACACCACCTAAATTTCCGTAAAAGAAATAGTTCATAATGTATTATTTTTTTTAAACGTCTAATTTGCCGAAAATTTTGCGGATTAGGTAGTAATGATAATGTGTAATCAACATAAAATATAAAATAATAAATATTAATATAATCGTAATTTGTGAACTTATCTAATCATGACGAGTTTTGGTTTTTGAGTAAGTAGTAAGTATATAAGGTGAGTTAAGTTTAAGTCCACGTTATAAATGTTAAGTGGGTATAGTTAAGTTATAAATTAAAATAGTATGATTGTACAAAAGTTTAGTAAATAAGTTTTAACTACAAACTGGGTTTCATGGTGAATTGGGTAGGTATCGGTGTATTGGGAAATCGCCAGATGTATATGTAGAGGTGTCAATGTGTCATATTATGCAAATTTGTATAAATTAAGTCAATAGATAAACCAACACGTTAAGCTTGTTACTTAAAAAATTCAGTATAATATTGTGTGATTATAGTGATGACAGATGCAATGACATAGCTAGGGTTTATGTACGAAAACAGTAAAAAAACTTAGATTAATCATTGAACATATTATAATATTAATTTAAAAAAAAAATGTGATGCACCTCACACCATACAGACACATATGTCATATGCATTATGTATATACATAACTGTATAAGCATTAATGGTTTGTGAAAGGAGGTCAATACTAAAAATATTTAATTCCGTTAAACTGTTATAGGTAGATATACGATACTATGAAGTATGCATATAAGTAATAGTAAGGATCTATCTAAAAACAATGTTATCATCCAGATAATTTAACTTATAGGTACCAAGTAAATTATCAAATACATCTTATTTTATTTTTAACTAGGATCTTTGTCTTCCAACTAAAGTTGAAATTTAAGAAGTTCTAAAATATATTATTTAATTATAATATGTTTGATCATTAAAGAGCCATTTGTAAACGAAAAGATTTTTTAAATTTTAAGTTAACAATAATATGTGAAAACTAAGTAAAAATTATTTTGTACTTAATAATCCTCTCCTATACAATCTGTTTTTATTTCAAAATGAAAAATACTAGTTATGTTACTCTTTTTACATTGTTAAATATTTCAAACGTAATTTTCTAGAACTTTCGACTTATTACTTATAAGCGATAAAGATACGTTGTTTGATGTCTGCAAATAAACGAGGTCATGTTTGTGTTAACTATGGGTAGGTAGTATATAGATACGCCATATTATCGGCAAACATTTTCCGAATTTATGATCCACCTTTTCTACAAAGGTAACTGTTACATATACCTGATATATATTATTAACGGGCTATAATCAGGGGTGGCGAACCTTTTTTTTTTTCTAGTGCCAATTTTTGCAATCAAGGGCTTGATAATTTTTCACGTGCCCAAAGTTTGTAAACACTAAATAGAACATAATTACTACGTTTATAATATGATGGCGTCAAAAAGGTTTAAAAAATGTATACCGTTTTAAAAGTTAAAACGTTCACATTATTATGCAGTTTAAGAATTTAAAACCAATTTAATTTCAATCCGTTTTAACACCATCATATAAATGTAGTAAATTATTTTTACATATATAGGAATATTACAASATTTAAAATGTTTATACTTTATTTATTTGAATTTTTACAAGCAAAATTTTAAGAATAGCATAATTTTTCTCAATTTCAATTTTTCGCGTGCTATTGAAATTTGACAAACATGCCACTTTTGGAATGTGTGCCGTGAGTTCACCACACCTGGGCTATATAATATGTTATTTGTATTGCTTAATTGTTATAAAATATTTTGATCATAAAAAATAACATTACAAACCAGGCATAACGTAGCTAGAATTTTTTCCATAAGTGCAGGCCCAACATTATTTGTCCGGCTTGTACCCCCTACCACCCTTATCCTAATCACACAAACTCTTATTAAATAAAACTACATTTTAACAATGTATTGTCTATAGTCTGTTTAAGTTTGTAACAATTACATTAAATGGCTTCGTCTTACAAATGTAAGACAGCAAAAACTGGTTTCCTCGAGAAAGAATCGAGAAGGTTATACGGTCATAACTACAAAACGAAATTCTCAACATATAAAAAGGAAAACATTGGCTGTGAAATACCGTTTGTGTTTTTTTATATAGGAACTAAAAAAAAAAATTATTCAAGTTTAAAAAACACAAAAATAATGGATTTTGAAGCAATGAGAATTTTTCCTCGCAGAAAGTGATATAAATAAAATATATAAATAGATATTTCACAGATAATTTTTGTTTTCCATATTTTTTAGATTATTATTGCAAATATTAAGCAACTTAATATTATGATAAAATATAATGAACATGAATATACATAATTATATTATAAAAATAAGATTAAATTTTTACGGGGGATTGAAGAGTTTTTGGTGGTCTTATATAACTTCATTATTATTAATCAATATGATTACAATTACAATCTATAGTCCTTTCTTTATTGCAAATATTAAATAACGATTAAATCTAGTTACGTGCTTTAAAATGTTAATGGCGCAGACAGGATTTTTCTTCTTAGTTAGGACTGTTAGGAGGGAGAGTTCTCCTAGGGCTGGTAATGTATTTTCACAGAGTTGGTTTAATTAGGATCTATACTCTCTATTATAGGTTAACTAGGTTTTATTTTATGTTTTGGTTCCTATATACGGCTATATACAAATTGTATTCGCATAGATCATAGAAGTAATTTTTTATATTTTTGAAATTCCGAGAAAGAGGGGCTACGTTTAACAAAATATATTATAAAGTAGAAATTTAAAAAAAAATGTGTTAGTACACTTGTCTTCAAATTATATATTTATTTTCTCTATACGCTGTGTTTTAACATGTTTATATACATATGAATTTGAGTATGTTTTGTGCGTAAACATAAGTACATAGTTTTACGAATAGCTAAATAATTATTAAGAAACATATTATTTTTTAACACTGGTCGATATTACAATAACTACATTACTATTACACGCATGTTAATATAGTAGGTACCTAGCTGGTATGTAGATTGTAATATCGTATAGCCCTAAGTGCCCCTAACTCTATATATTATATGTAAATTAGACAAAAATCTATAAAGGCTTCCGTTATAATTAATAAGATATATTATAATATTATATTTATTAAATTTAATTCAAAAAATAGTATAGTATGATGTATGATATAGTTAAAACTATTGATGACCTACATAAAATTGTACATTTTTCAAAGATACAAATTTGAAGTACCTAGTTTGAACGGTCTTCCCTCCATCTCTCTTATGTTTACGCCTTTGAATGTGTATTAGTAATGTATTACAGACATAATACAACTATACAAGTTTTTAAATTAGCTATTTTATTTCGAAAAAAGTATACAATATAATATACATAGTCGAGATGTTAAAATTGTATGTATGACATGTACAATTTTTAAGTATTATGTATTATGCTGAATTAATTTTATTTAAACAGTTGGTTAGAAGTTGTATGGTACAGTGGTCAGTGGGATACCGTTTTAGATATTACATATATTATAAAATATTGGTAGTCAGAAAAAAAATSCACGGAAAAAAAAGCCACGGGAAAAATAATCCACAGAAAAAAAGCCACGGGAAAAATAAGCCACGATAAAAAAAGTCAAATTACAATAATTAAAAATATAACAGTTAAAATTAAAGAATTAAATTAGGTATTATTTAAAAATTGTTTACACGTTATTGGTCAAATATATAAAAATAATAATAATTAAATATATAAAAAATAATATTTAAAGTATTATTTAACATTTTTAAACATTGGTCATATTGTATACATATAGCAGGTATACATATATATATTATATATATATATATATAATTATTAATACACAGGTTATATGTTAATTAATTTAAATTTTTTAACACAGTTGATCATACTGTATTGTCCGCATTCATATAGGTATAAAAATAAAATTGTTAATATTATAATATACATTGAATAAAAATAATATAATATTTTGTGGATATTATCTTGAAATCAATTGATTATTATGTCTTACACCCTAGATAATATGTATAATGTACGAGTATATACTTTGTACAGGTGATTCTTTTTTAAATGTACATGTTGCAATATAAACTACATGATGCTATCTTTAAATATATTAATTTATGTATATTTTTAATTAAAATTTTTATTTAATGAAATCAATACATTCATTGCTGTTTAGAATCTAAAATATATTTATTACTATAAATAATAAATAATAACATATAACCTGTGTATTAATAATTAATAATTATATATATGTATACAATATGACCAATGTGTGAAATTTTTTTAAATAATACCTAATTTAATACTTTAATTTTAATTATTATATATTTAATTATTGTAATTTTACTTTTTTTCYTACATTCAAATATATTTTACTTAAATTTAAAATTTTTCATATATTGTAAAAAAATATGTTGAATCCATAAATAAAAATGAAATATCATACGTACTATAGTCACTACATCCTACGTTAAATTTACTCATTTACATTGTTAGAAGTATGGTACTAAGGCCTATGAATTAATTATGAAATATGCTTAAAAAAAACTTACTTCTGATATCATGAGTGTCACCAGATTCATGTTCCTCGTTCAATTCTAGAAATAGTTCCGACTGTAAAGTTGTACTGTTTAGTGTAGTATTTGTAGTTTCCATGTTTTTTATTTTGTCAAATTAAATTATTTGATATAAAAATTTGTACAAATATGTTATAACACTCTCATATCTAAAAGAACATATTATATAAAATTCAATTAATGAATATACATTTATATATTATATAAGCAAATAAGAATAACCAGGCACAGGATTCTATTAAGCGCATTAAACGTATGCCAAAAAATAAATAAATACGCTCAGGGTTTGTGATATGATTATTATAGCYAACAAACTCGGCCAACTTTATTATACCTACTATATATACATTCATTTGTTTTATTGTCCTCACGCCTCAATAAGTTTAATACGTTTAACCGTTTAAGTATAACCAGTGTAGTCAATTTAAGAGAGTATATTTATAAACGTACTACGTATACTTACGTAATTGTGTTTATTTTTTTAAAAATTGTTTTCATAATTGAAACATATCAAAATTAAGGTTATTAAAACTGATCTTATTAAGTTATAGGTAGGTACCTACTTTTTTCACGCTAGGTATTTAAAATTTTCTCAGCAGTTGCACATAATACTATAATAGAATGGAGATTATAACTCATATGAATTTATTAATACATATAAAAGGTCTATTACTATATTAAGGTTAAAACTGATACGTTACTATTCGGTCAAAGCAAATAAATGAACCAAGCATGAAGAAAACTTAGGTACAGTTAAAGGTAAAGAGCGCATGGGACTATGGATATACTTAAGATTTAGTATAGTTACAGGGATTAGTTTTAGTAATTAAATAAATTAACCCAGTGGCGGTGGGGGGGGGAAACTCCCAACACTTAATAACTCATCCATTATATGAAGAGAATTTAGTAATCAGTAGGTAGTCACAGAGAGTCATGTTGTACCTGTACCTATATGACGTGTCGTACAGCCGTATAAATCACTATAATGTATGTAAAATCATTGTACACGAAAAATGAACTATGAAGGCTTATTATATATATTATATACAAAATATATTTTATGAATTTATGATGTCATTAATTAAAGTATATAATTTATTTTACTATTAGAAACACAGTTTCAATTAAAACATTGTATTTGAAAATTGTATTGTATATACTGTATATGAAATAAAATTAAACATTTTATAAGTTTCAAATATTACCCAAAAATAATATTTTTGAATTACACCAAAATAATTAAAAATTTAAAACTTTTTTCGTCTAAATATCTAATTGCAATTTAAATTTTAACTTAAAATATTTATAAAAAAAATGTTCTTATATATTTTTTGCTTACAATATGAATTGCTTATAAGTTATAAGAAACCTGTTTTATATTATCATTTCTTTGGTATAAAATTGGACATTTTAGATTGCAACTTTTTGTGATTTAGATGAATATTCACTTTAAATGCTTTAAAAAAATTGTGCAAATGAATGATGAATCTATAATATTTTCAACTCTTATATATTAAAAAGTATGAAGAAACTTGTACTAAATTTGCAAGCTTTTTGACCAAAAATATAATATTATTACTACATTGATAAAAATTAAAAAAAATTATTTTTCCTATAAATTGCACAAAAAGAAGTAAAAATATTTTGAAAATGTAATCATCTACTTAGTATTAATAGAAAATGATAATATAAACATTTGGTGAAAATATTAAGTACCTATTTACGGTCGTTTTTGAATTACAACAAAATATTAAAGAACAATTATCCACAGTTTATTAATTGATCGCTGAATTTCCATAATCGTAAAAGTTTTAAATACAAACGCTAGGTACTTCTCATATCCCATAAACTTTCTATTTTGTTAAGGTCCCCTCACATTTTAGTGCAGTGGTGGCGGTAAAATTGTATTGATTTGAAAGGTGCCGGTAACTTGTGTCCGGACTTATTTTTACAACCATCGCTGCAGTGTGACAGTGTGAGGATATAGGTTTAAAGGTAGAAAACTAAAAAAGATTATGAGGAATCGTCTTCTAAATTTTCAAATATTAGGAGTAAAACCATAACTAAATAAATGGCCTTAACTCTTAATATACATATTTTGCTAATGTTTTAAAGTATAAAATCAATTCTGTCAAAAACAGGTTTCCGTAAAAATTCTGGTTTCTCTTGTTTTTTTTTTCGACACTTTTGACTGGAAATTTTATATTTTTAGCAGAATAGTGAATGTATTTATTTTACAATGATACGGGTAATAATTTTTTTTACCCGTGTACACGAAAAAAAATCAAAATGATGTTTTGATTTTCATATTCAGTAACTTATCTGGAGTGAAAGTGAATMTATTTGCTGGTTTATAGTGTAATCGAAAGGTCAAAATTTAAATTTCTCAATATCTACTTTACAAAAATGTCCGGAATAACAGGAATTTTTCTCGCAAAATCTACTTCGAAAAAATCGATTTAGGTTTATTGGATAATTCGCCGAAATTGTGTTTCCTGCAATTCTACAGGTCAAGCGATAATAGRAAATTTTCTTAAACCAGAAAACACTGATTATTTGCAGTCTACAAGATAAATTATTTTTTAAATATTATCTGGGATATATTATAGCTCTTAATTCGTTATTCGTATAGGAAAAAGGTGGGTGAGCTGAAATATTTAAAATATATTCTGATCACCACGTCCCGTGTCTCCAACTAATTACCACGTCAAAAGGCTGAACGGGTTAAGCATGACCTAAATTTTATTGCTAAGATGGAAATATCACACAGCACGTCTCATTCATGTGTAGACTAGTAGACTAAAGAATATATTGCATATAAGTATTATACCTGTATAGTATGTAGGTACAATGATTTTCAATAAGGAAATACGAAATACGTATCAGTCATAATATGTAGTACTGCGGTGAGTGTACTATGCTTTAGTAATCTTTCGGTAATCACGGAAATCATGGTAATCATTTGAAAATCGTAGTGTTCTAGAATGAAGTACACACAATGTTTAGAAATATGGTTCCAATAACACAATACCTAACACGAGTACCACACTACCAGTTGKCAGTTACATACCGGCCTATATTGACATCTGGTTCCTCATCTGAATATACTTGGACAGTCGAGTATAGTTATATTGATGCACCAAAAAATATGTCGCAAACCAAGAAAATAATATCATGAACATTATGTGGGTGGTGGAACATTATATTTTTATTTCCTCAAATCGAACGTTTAATAACGTACGTGAAAACAACAGTCTACAATAAATTATTATTATCAACAATATAATTTTGTTGTTGTGGTCTCCGAAACGAGATAAGAAGTAAAGAAGTAAAAGCGTCGACTGCCAGGCGGCAAGTGGGAGTGCGAGAGAGAGGAATCGCGGACGACGACGTACAACAATTGTTATTGGCTCGAAAATGTGTGCGCGTGTACTCTGCGCCCGCGGACCAATGATCGGCCACCACGAGCCAGTGCGATCATTTTGTTTACATCATCAACATTTTATCAGCGGCGAACAGCACCGCAGTACCGCACATTTTCCCGTCATCATTCGCATTTCTCACAACCAACGTAGCATCGGTCGTCGTTGTTTGCCCCCGCGTAGGTAATACCCGTCAGATCAGAAAAGTTTTTTTTAATTCCTAGTTTTCGGGATTTTAAAATTTTACACACCCCACGTCGAATCACCACAGCCATCCAGCACTCGCCGGTAAGTACCTACCAAAAGTCCGTCGGCCGCGTTGTGTCCGTAGSTCTATCTCGACGTCCACAGTTGTGTGATCGTTACCTCACGACATTGCCAATCGCCTACTCACCTTTCACGTCGTTTTCTTTACGTCTTTACGTGTGTTTCATTCTGTTTTTCCGTGTCTGCTGCAGAATCGAATCGACGACATGATCCTTCACGTAGCGTTCGCAGCGTTCCTGTTGGTCAATTCGGCGATCGCCGACGCCGGTGTCCAGGAACAGGTGGCCGTCGAGTCCGACGAAGGCGTGCTCGTGTTGACCAAAGACAACTTCCAAAGTATTGTCTCGTCGTCCGAATACCTGCTCGTCAAATTCTGTGAGTAAACGTTTAACCGCTGTCGTGTTTACAAACGCAGAAATTATGTTTCGTTTTAAAGGTTAGAAAACGTCGTCACAATGACCCCATATAATTTAAGAGCCGTAGACATTGAGGTTTTCCCGTATCATTTTGGGTGGGTGAGAGGGGGGGTCAACTATATGACTTTGTTTTTAACTATACATAGGTATTACACAGTACACAATAATAATTATATTTTTTTGGCTAAAACTGAGTTAGTAATCCATAAGTAGGTACTTACAGGTAAGTATTTTAAATCGTTATGTATTATTTTAAATAAAATATAAGGTATACAAATTTGAATAATAAGTTAATTAATAACAACTCAAGTAGTGTTTCTCTGTTTTGCTTATATTTGGATACTGTCTTTTTAATTTTTTTACCCAAGGAACAAACTATTGAGTGAATTATTTTACCTACTCATACATACTCTCATAATTGAGTATATTTTATATAGAACCTATTATGGTATTTTAATTTTATTAAAATATGTATAATATGGGTTAAAATAGTTAAATATAATTTTAAACATCAATTTATAAAATTATAAAAAATAAAAATTTTAAAAAACAATTCCAATCCATAGATTTTAATAGGTTAAAATTAAGCTATGAAGGCTTTGATATTATATTTTTATCTTTGGCCTACAAAAAATATCGGTATTGTTTTATAAAGAAAATAATATATGTTATGAATTCTCATTTTTTGATACTTAATTATTATAAAGTTACAAGTTAGAATAGAAAATTACTTAGGTATTTTATCTAGTTCATAAATAAAATAAAATTGTGTAGTTTATTATTCGAATGGCTTTATTAAATTAATGGTTTGGTACCTATATTTATTATTTTTTCATCTGATAAAACCATTTATTGAATATGATTTTCTTAAATAGATTAAATCAACTGATATAAACTATAAAGCATATTGAGCAATTTTATTTATAGAATGGTGTTATCAAAACTTTAATACACCTAGCATTATTTCTTATTAGCTATAAGTCGATCACTTAATTCATTTTAATTTATAATTTTAAAACTTATCTAGTATTGTTGTATATCMTTTGTAATATTATAATCAATGTTATTAAGTATATATTTCACTTTACTATGTGTACTATCTGTTTAACATTAAACATGTTTTTTAGAAAACTCTTAGTATAATATATAATATAAAAATATTTGTATTTATAATTTAAATATATTTAAACGTTAAACCATATGTTTTGCTTTGTCTGTTTTCAAACTAATGTTAACAATTGTTAAGAAGAAGAATATTTTTTATTTTGGTACACGTGTCGTATGCTATCTACCGGCGCATGCTATCTACAAAAAATTAATACTTGTGTCGTATGCTATCTAACGTAGGTAAAAAATGGATTTTGGGAACGTATTGATTGCCATTTTTGACAACCTCTTGTTTGGCATCTCATGTATTTGGTTTTAACTAATTGACCAGTTGCATCTCGTTTTCGACTATTTTTTAATGTTTCTTTCATGTCACCACCACACACTTCACCCATAGCATTTAATTTAGTACATACATTTGAATTCGGCAATAACCCACGTTCTTTTAAAAATTTGACACAAGATTCGTCGTTAAAAATAATATTTCTGTATAAATCACCTAAATTACTCATTTTCATAAAACTCAAATAAACACAAAAATACAAATACGTTTATATAATAATACGAACACGTTTATCGTTTATTAAGCACCGAACACATACTAGACGACACAACATAATACGAATACAATCATTTCGTAATTGGTAATGTATTAAAAATAGGATGGGAAAATGTGTAGATAACTTTAATAATGTAGATAGCATACAACACCTATAAATCGACCGTAGATAGCATACGACACGTGTACTTTTATTATTCATGTATATTATTATATATGATGCCAAAATTAATTTTTAATTATTTAGTAATGTGGGGTTTTGAGATATTTTACCAATTATTATTTAACTGMTAATTGTATCCAAATAATATTTATCCTTATTTATATTGGTTTAGAACTTTATGTTTCTTAATCGCTTGTTTGTTGTAAACAAAAAAATATATACAGTATTTTTAAACGTTTATTTGTTGAATAAAGCATAATAATTTTGTTATTAYTGTTTCTTTTGAAAATTAAAATATATACCTAGGTGATTTCTACTACTACCTAATGTTAAATACATACAATATCATACATTCTTACATTTTATCCATACATATTTTACTGCTTTGAGTTGACTATCTTATTTATTTATAAAATGTGATGACTTATACCATATCTTTATTTAACTAGACTGTCTAGACTAATTCATATATTCAGAATAAAGTATTTTTAGTTATCATGAAAGTGTATTATTTAAATTTCTAATCTTTTATTTTATCTTCTACTTCCTTTTTAGTAATTGCACAATAAACATTATCTTTTTTCTTTACTGTTATTTGTACAGTACAACAGCATATTTTTAAATTTATTCGAATATAAAATATTTATCTTTATTTATATAATTAGGTATATCCTTTATTTATAATATTCCATATTTTCATACTTATGAAAAAAATAAATAATTTAAAATATCTGGACATCATACTTGATAAACATTTATATTAGATCCTTCCTATACCTATAAGCTATACATAATACATTTTTTTTAAAGTTTAACCAAGAAAAACAAAATATTAAATTTTTTTCTAAAGTCAATGCAGATCATATCAACATTAGTCATTTTATAAAACATAATGTGTAATTAACATTTGTATGCTATACATTTAGATCATAAGAGCATAAGAACTTTGAAAACCAAATACAATAAAACCTCTTTAAGATAGGAAACTCCTCACTACAGAAAATAATAATAGTCATATTATATAACCTCTATCTCATAGATAGAGGCTCTCTATAACTTAAACCCTTTTATAAAGAAAAAGTCAATTGATAAAGAGCAATTCTGCTGTAAGAAGGTTTTACTGTAGCATATTTAAACATTTGTGATATAATCCATGCATATGTCTTAATTTTAGTTGTTTTGTGTATATTTTGTAGATGCACCATGGTGTGGTCACTGTAAACAATTAGCACCAGAATATGCAAATGCAGCTCAACACTTAGCCCAAAATGAGTTATCAGTTAAATTGGGAAAAGTAGATGCCACTATTGAAAGTGACTTAGCTGAACAGTTTGGAATTCGTGGGTATCCAACTTTGAAGTTCTTTAAAAATGGAAAACCAATTGATTACTCAGGTACAATAAATAGTTTACTTTCTGATTGGAAATATTATATCAATAGTTTTTATGAAATTCTCATTTTATAATGATTTCATATTTGCACACTCTAGGTGGCCGAACCAAGGATGAAATTATTCAATGGGTATTGAAGAAATCTGGACCTGCTGCGAAAGTTTTGCAATCAGAAGAAGAATTTAAATCTTTCATYGAAGGAAAACACGTTTCTATTGTTGGTTATTTCGAAAATGTAGAATCAGATGCAGCAAAATTATTTGCAGAGCTGGCAGATGCTGTTGATGATCATCCATTTGGTCTTGTATCAGATTATTCCAAATTCTCCAATTTAGAACACAAAGATACGTTTGTTTTATATAAAAATGTAAGTATTAACATTGTATCATGTAATCTATTGTTTGGATATCAACCATATATTTTGATTATAATTTTAGTTTGACGAAAAGAAAGTTCCATTCGATCAAGATATCACCGATATTGAAGACATCAAGAAATTTATTTTTGTTCATTCGTTGCCACCCGTTATTGAGTTTAACCAAGAAACTGCTCAAAAAATATTTGGTGGTCAAATTAAGAGTCATTTGTTACTCTTCTTATCTAAAAAAGAAGGACATTTTGAAAAATTTTTGGATGGAATTAAACCTGTTGCACTTGACTTTAGAGGAAAAGTAAATTAAATCATATTTTAATAAATTTAGATTTAATTAATTTGATAAAATTCAATTTTTTTTTTAGATTGTTTTTGTTACTATTAATACTGATGAAGAAGAACATCAAAGGATTTTGGAGTTCTTTGGAATGAAAAAGAATGAAGTTCCAAGCATGAGGGCAATCAAACTTGAAGATGATATGACCAAATTTAAACCTGAATCTCCTGAATTAACTGGAGAGAATGTGAAGAAATTCGTTTCTGATTTTGTCGAAGGAAAAGTTAAGGTATAATGAAAACTATTTAATAGATATTGAATAATATTTTTAACATAAAATATTTTTTTAGCAACATCTGCTCTCTGAAGAATTACCTGAAGATTGGAACAAAACTCCAGTCTGGACTTTGACCGCTACTAACTTTGATAGTGTAGCTTTAGATTCAACTAAGAATGTACTTGTTGAATTTTATGCTCCATGGTGTGGACATTGTAAACARCTTGCACCAATTTTTGATAAAGTAAATAAATACAACATTGTTTTTTTAAATCAAACAAAGTTTTAATTTGCATTACTTTATACTTAAGGTCGGAGAATATTTCGCTGATAAAGATGATGTTGTCATAGCAAAAATGGATGCTACAGTTAATGAACTCGAGCATACTAAAATTTCCAGTTTCCCTACACTAACTTTCTATCCAAAGGGAGACAGTCCAAAAGTATGTTAATCTATTTTGCTATATTCTGTATTGCTAATCAAATAAAAGTTTGTTCTTTTATTTATTCACAATTTAAACATTTTAAATTGTCGTATTATACTTTTCTATGAATCACTTAATGAATTATTTTAAAATTTTAGGCCATTGAATATAATGGAGATAGAA